CCCAGGGCTGGATTGCTGGAGAGTGCAGGCTTTGCAGAGCCCTGCATCCCCGTCTCTCAGAGCAGCCATGTGGGCAGCAGCCCTGGCATGGAGAGCAGCAGGGATGGGGGCATGGCCTGGCTGGAGGGGGCCTGGTCCTTACCTGCAGAGTGGAATAGTCGGACAGCACACGGGTCAGCACATCGATCCTTGCCATGGCCCTCTCCCTCACAGCCTCTCTCTCGCATCTGGTGAAGTCCAGCAGCAGCTGGGACAAGAGAAGCAGTGGGTGAGCCCTGGGAGCAGACTCCAACACCAGCAGCAGCACAGTTCCACTGCTGGGTTGCACTCGCCCCATCCCTCAAGGCTTCCTCTCCCCTCCAGCAAAGCCTGCAGTGGGGTGTCTGCCCCTGGATTCCCGCCCAGGTTGGGCACAAAGGCCCAGAGCCAACCTCATGGTCAGGCAGGAGGGCAGGTGCCACCCTCTGCAGCCCCTGTGCTCCACAAGAGCCTGGGGCCTGCCCCAGCTTCCCCACAGGAGGTGGGCACCCTCCCTGCAGGGCACTCTGCCTGTTCAGCACTGCTCTGGGGAACACTCAGCCAGGAGTGGGCAAACCCTCCCCTCCAGGCTGAGGAACAGCTCTGGGACTCCCCCCTTTTTGCTTGTGCCAGACCTCCAAGATGCCCTGCAGCTCCTCGCTGACTCGAGAGGCAGGAAAGCTGAGCACCACTGTCCTCAGCATGCTGTCCATGGAGTTGAGGGTCTGCAAGGAACACAGAGAGCAGTGGCAGTCATTCTGCTGTTCTTCCCAGCACCAGGAGAGCTACCCGAACCCCCTGTGCCACAGGAGGAGGAGGAGGATGCCCACACTTCCCTGGAGAGACATGGGCATAGACAATCTGCGAGGGCAGAGCAGCCTGTGGCACGGGATGCGGCCAGGCCCACGGGAAGGGGACAGAGGCACGAGGGGGGGAAAGACCCTGCCCTGCCTGGGATCCCTGCTCCTGTGGCACCATGGGGTAGCCAGGGAGCAGTCCAGAGGGGTTGGAGGGCCCTGGAGCTCACCCAGCACTTACCTTCATATAGAGGGCAAGGTCCCCTTTTGGCATTTCCTTCTCTGCAGGCAGCCAGAAGACACTTGAGAAACACGCGTGGAGGAGGCTTTTGGCTTTGCCCTCCAGCGCTGTGTCCACCAAGCTGCAGGGAGAGGGCAGGACACTGGTTGCACACGGGTGCTGGGAGCAGCCCCTCGACAACTGGTGAAGGTGGCATCGGACCTCTGGGCCAGGGGGCCCATGACGGATGGGCAGGTACCTCAATTTCTCCAGAGCCAGCATGGAAAGATGCCGAAGGTCTGTGCACAGCTGGTCCCTTGGCTCTTCTTCCAGCAGCGCCTGCAGAGCACAACCGGGATGGCACCTGGCAGCTGCCAGCAGCCAGGGCCTCCAGTCCCTGACCCGCCCAAGCGCTGTCTGCACAGGCTGCCTGTGCCAGGGGGCTTTGCTCCCTTCAACACATTGCCAAGAGTGCCCTCACCTTGATGTTCTCTGCCAGCTGGTACATGTCACAAAACAGATCCAGGCCCTGGGTCAGGCCGTACTTCAAGGCGCTTCGGCACAGCACGGAGATGCTCTGCAGAAATGTGGCCTTGTCTCTCTCCTCCTGCCAGCCAGGGGACAGAGACACAAACACGGATTGTGAGTGGGCCGACACAGCCAGCGGGACCGCAGCACTGGGGGTACAGTGCCCTGAGGGAGAAGAAGCCCTGCCCTGCCAGCACCCCTCCAGCAGCCTGGCAGCAGAGCCCCTGCCAGCAGACAGCAGCACAGCTGCCCTCCAGCTGTCCACAGTTACCTTGTTGGGGCTGGTGACAAAGGCCAGGATGGAATCAACAGCTTCCTGCTCCTCCTTGTAGATGGGCAACCAGCTGACATCTAACGGGGAAAAGAGCAGGGAGAGCTGCAGAGGGTCCAGTGAGAGGAGGGGGTCGAGGATATCTGCCCTCCACCCAGCTCTCTGCCCACTGCCTTGGCACAGACTTCCCTTGCAGCTCCTGGCTGGAGGGTGTCTGGCAGAGGAGCTGCCATGCCTGGGAAAGCCCCAGTGCCCCGGGCTGAGAAAGGCAATGGCAGACAGGCAGGAAAGGCCCAGGCTCCCACAGCACGGCTGCCTCCTGCCAGCCCAGCTGGCCCTCGCTGCCCACAGCCCAGAGCCCCTCTGCCCTGTCCTTCTTTGGGAGAGGCTGTGCTGGGGCCACGCTCCAGCCCTGAGCAGTCCCAGCTTTCAGGCAACATCATGGCTGATCCCCGGAATCCCCGCTGTCAGCTGGCCAGGAAAGTGGGATCCCGGTGTGCTACAGGGTGTGCTGGTGGGCCCCAGCCCTGCCCAGCCCCACAGGGCCCCTCACTCACCGAGCTTGAGGGGCTGCATGGTGGTCACCTCGTAGGAGGATGGAAGCTGCAGACCTGGAGAGCGGCTCTCCTGGGAAGAGCTGTCTTCCATCCAGGCCTGCCTGGGGCAGGCGGGAGGTCTCTTCTCCATCCTGTGAATCAAAGAACACAGGGGAGCCTGCCTACGGAGGGCGTCCAAATGGTGGAATTGAACACCCTGGGGAAAAATGCCGCGGCCAAATCGCCTCAGGCAAAGTACCTCAGGCAAAAGGCCTCAGCCAAAGGCCTCAGCCAAAAGGCCAAGGCAAAGTGCCTCAGGCAAAAGGCTAAGGCAAAGCACCTTGGCCAAAAGGCTAAGGCAAAGCACCCTGGCCAAAAGGCCAAGGCAAAGTGCCGCAGCCAAAAGGCAAAGGCAAAGTGCCGCAGCCAAAAGGCAAAGGCAAAAGGCCTCAGCCAAAAGGCCAAGGCAAAGAACCTCGGCCAAAAGGCCAAGGCAAGTGCCTCAGCCAAAAGGCCAAAGCAAAGAACCTCAACCAAAAGGCCAAGGCAAAGTGCCTCAGGCAAAGCGCCTTGGCCAAAAAGCCTCGGCCCAAATGCCTCAGGCAAAAATGCTTTGGCAAAACGCCTCAGCAAAACACAAAGTTCCCACGGGGTCACCAAGGGTCGTGGACAAGATGTGGACTGCAGTCGGGGGCTTCTCGCCAGCGCCGCACTCCTCTCCTGTCCGGTCGCCGTCCTGACGGACACTGACCCACCGTGGGCCACGGTCGCGCTGAGCACACCTGCTGCAGTGGGTGTCACAAAGGGCCCCTCTGTGACACGCTGCCGGCCGCTAGCCACAGGTCCCAGTGCTTGTTGACATGGCACCTGCCCCCAGCAACGGGTCCCAGGGAGCCACCACGCAGGCTGGAACAGGCAGGGTGTCCCTGGTCACACAGGCCAGTCTCAACCCTGGGCGCCCAGCTGCCCTCAGGGTATCTCCAGGCCCCACTTTGCTCTCGTGTCTCCTCGGGACTTCCCAAGGAGCCCCATGTTCAGACAGCCCTGTGTGACCCCAGGACACCCCTTTCCTGTCCCCACACTGCAGAGCCTGGCCTCAGAGCCCTTCAGTCACATTAAATGCATACCGTTTGCTCAAGCTGAACAGAAACCATGGCTTTTGTTGCCTCTTCTCTTTCTCCCACTGACCAGCAAGAGCTTTTCCCCACTCAACAGCTCTTCCAGCACCGGGCTGCTCAGGAGCCCTCCCAAGACCTTTGCCGCACCCCAGGCCCCTGCATGGCACCCCGAGCTGCCCCAGGGCAGCTGAGTGACCCTGCCAGGCTGGTGGAGTCCTGGGGGGGCTTAGGGCTGAAGGGGGGAGGATGGCACCCAGGGGGATTCCTTGGATTCACCAAGGAAGGCCTAGACTAAACTACCCCAGGGATCCAGCTGGAAGGGCCAGGCTCCTCAGCATGCTGGGAGCTGTCATCTTCTGGCACAGCCCAGCTGAGCGGCCACATTGGTCCATCTGAAGGGCCAGGAGCTGTAATCCTGCTGCTCTTGCCTCAGTTCTGTGTCTCTTCTACAGAATCAGACCAAAGAAGCCCCCAGAAGCCCAAAGGGCCCTGGAACAGCCCCTCTCTGACAGCCCCAGAGGTGCCCCGGAGCTGCCTGCCAGCCCAGCTGGCCCTCGCTGCCCACAGCCCAGAGCCCCTCTGCCCTGTCCTTCTTTGGGAGAGGCTGTGCTGGGGCCATGCTCCAGCCCTGAGCAGTCCCAG